TTTTCCAGGAAGATGAGGCTATGCTCAAAATGATGCCGGCATTATCCACAGATGACTATCCGCCAATCTCCCTACCAGCCCCCAGCCCCAAATTCACACACTTCACCAACAACAGCAGTTTCTTACTTGAAGAGCACTGGAAACAGAGATTCCTGTTATGAATGCAGAGGCTTCCTGCTGTTCAAACCTGCAGTGAAAAGAAAACAATCCGAAACGTATACTAGTACACACGCATGCTAAGAAATGAAGAAAACAAAGAGCCAGCCAGCAGATCATGAGCACATACATTTTGATATTTTTTATAGATTTCAGTTGGGATGCAGTTGGTTTGTTCACCAAAGCGAATCCAGATAATTATTATGAATGCATTTCACTTTCAGAAAGTTCCTAGCAGGCATTATACCCTGCTTAATATGTTGGTTAGGTGTGTGAAGCGACAGTAGTTACTGCAAGAAAGGTGTAATTCATAAACTGGCAAGGTGGAATTGTCCATAAACACAATCTGTGTGCAAATGGTGAATGGCAGAGAAACCCCGCAGTAAAATTTCGCGTACAGATATGATCAGAATACACGGTGTACAGTGTGTCTTGAGAGAATAGAACTTCAAATTATAGTATTGTATAAAAAAAGTGTAGATCGCACCCAGGGAATAATTTCAATCCACAGCTGCACGGATTGTTTTTAATATTGGGGATGGACCAATACTTGATGACTTAGTGCACACACTAAAAGCCGTATGGTTGACCCAACCCCTCTCAACATAAAACCTGATCACCAGCTCAGCCAGAACTTGACCCGACTGCCGTATGGCCACAAGTTAGTGTCAGACCAAATTTGCTCGGCCGACATCTATATTTTGCGGCAAAATGTTTTCTGGCCCGCCGCCCATATTTTGCCTTCATTTTGCCACGCCACTTGATATTTCGCCACCTTTTTGCTCAAATTCGAGGCAAAAATGTGTGTCATGTGTTTGAAAAATGGCCAAAAAGTAGGTCCCATGTTCGCAAAATGAGGAAATGTGAGGCACATGAACCGTAAAAGTTATATATAGGCAATGACAGCTTAAAAAACGCCAGATTCGGACCAAACATGGGAGAGTGAAACATCGATATTTTGCTCGGTTTGCTAGCAACTGCTTTTTCAACGGTTTTCAATATTTTTAAGAAAGGGTTTGCTCCCCACACCGGAGCTCGCGCTATTCCGCCGACTTTAATTGACACTTGACTGACTCACGACTGCCATCCAGAGCACACGAGAAGTCCATCGAACCTTCGACTCGGCAAACCTGCAAGAAAGCACCACTCCCTGCTCAATACACAGTGTTTCGGGGAATTCACCCCTTATCAGTTGAGCTTGAGTAGGCTGAGGAAGATTGTGCCTGAAGAGCACCACTTATATAGTGCTCTCCAGGCACAAACATCACCAGGGATACAAACTTACAGAGACGCTCCGTTTCCAGCGCGACAAACACCTCGTGAACACCAGATAGCAGCGTGAGTCAGTGTCGCTCCTGGAAGGTGAGACAGACGTCGAGGACCCTCGGTCATTCGCAACGCTGTCACCTCCAAACCAACTAGTCGCAAGCCCGCGCTGGGCACAACAGTACGAAGTAGTGGTTGCGACTTCGGCGATGATTTGTAAGAAAGGGTTTGCTCCCAACACCGGAGCTCGCGCTATTCCGCCGACTTTAATTGACACTTGACTGACTCACGACTGCCATCCAGAGCACACGAGAAGTCCATCGAACCTTCGACTCGGCAAACCTGCAGAAAATAATACATTCAGCATGTACAGTGTTTTTAAAAGAAATTTTTCTTCGGCCAAGTGCTAGCTTTAGAATATGAGTGTTTCTTGTATTAGTTTTAGATCCAATAAATACCTTATGGTACCATAAATATCTTTTCAATATTTTGCTAGAAGAATTGCTAGCAAATTTGGCCTGACCCTACAGCAGGTGCAACAAACAACGGTCATGTGACCCAATCATGTGACCTGGTCATGTGACCTAGTCATGTGACCTAGTCATGTGACCCAGTAACGTGACCTAGTCATTAAGGTGGCAGTTCCCCGTTTTCGTATACTACACTCTTTGGACCAGAAGTCATGAACAGCTAGGAATATCCAAAACCAAACTTGGAAATGATGTTGAGGGTGTTCATACCGAGGTTCAGAATCATTTTTTCACACATCTCACTTATCTTTGCCAACATGGTAACCTGAGAATCACTGCATGCGTCAGTCACTGTTGCCTACACTTGAAACACAGCCCTACCCCAGTCATGGACACCCGTTACCACACCTGTTACCACAAACACATCCATGATACACAATACTCTCAATTATTTCATTGGCACAATACTCGTAGTTTTGCTTTTTTTATAGCTGAGTGTAGCGAAAGCATGTAAAAAACGGATTTTTCATTCACAGATATTTTCGAGCAGTTAATTGCTCTTGTTCAGCGCAATTCCATAGAACCTGCCATCAGCTTTATCGTGACTGTGATTGCTCTGATAGACCGCTGCTCCATGTACTGAACAGTTGCTCTGTGAGTGAAAATCATACATTCAGCATGTACAGTGTTTTTTAATGTTCGGTTAAAGGGGAAGTTAAGGCAAAAATCAAAATTTCACCAGTTGTAGTCTTCGGGGTGCTGAGTCGAATGGTCTTGGTCCGAGGAAGCTGAGACGCTCCCTTCCTACTTGAATCCCAATCGAACTCGCGCACTTCCACCGAAACTGGGTGACTGCGCCCTACTAGATGGGGATTTGTATGCAAAATGTCACTAAAAGCGCCATTTCGTTCTTATAAAAGCACGGATGACCGCGATTGGCCCATATGTTGTAATCTTTTGGACGCTGAGTCGACTGGTTTTGGTCCGAAAAGGCTGCGATGTAGCGTTCCTCCTTTATTCCCAATCGAACATGGTTGAACAAGCGGTCACGTGCTCCTGCGTACACCAGTCACCTGGTCACCGTGCCTGCAGGGTACAACTTACTAGCCTGTTTGACCTTTTTTGGGTGCACTCCTGTCACTCGAGTTGAACTCGAGTTGAACCTTGGTGTGAAAGTTGTCGCCTGCTGGCGTGGTGACCAGGTGATTTGGGCACCCAGGAGCACGTGACCGCTTGTTCAACCATGTTCGATTGGGAATAAAGGAGGAACGAAGCATCGCAGCCTTTTCGGACCAAAACCAGTCGACTCAGCGTCCAAAAGACTACAACATATGGGCCAATCGCGGTCATCCGTGCTTTTATAAGAACGAAATGGCGCTTTTAGTGACATTTTGCATACAAATCCCCATCTAGTAGGGCGCAGTCACCCAGTTTCGGTGGAAGTGCGCGAGTTCGATTGGGATTCAAGTAGGAAGGGAGCGTCTCAGCTTTCTCGGACCAAGACCATTCGACTCAGCACCCCGAAGACTACAACTGGTGAAATTTTAATTTTTGCCTTAACTTCCCCTTTAATGTTGGAGTTAACCGTTGTTAACAGTCACATACCATTGCTTCGCTGTTGGCCTTTATAACGGGTTGCATAACCCTCCTTACGTGTGTGCACAATCTTGCTCTCTCTACATACTGCTGTGTATCATAGACATCACATGCCCACGCTCTGCGCATGCGCAGATTTCCTGTGCGCACAACAACAGAGCTTGCTGTCTTTCCAGTTTCCTTGCCTGCAGTCAGCTTTCAAATTCTGAACTCAAAAATTCTGATTTCTGATTTGAGTTTGCCTCCGTCCTGCTTGAGAGTGTCAGTCCTAGTTCTGCCGATTGGTTGCCGCCTTTAGTATTCGCTTTCTTTGTTCTCTCTCAGCTCAGTCCCGTCAGACTACGTGTCTTCAGCGGCCAGAGATTATTTGAGTATTATATTCTCGCGATGGCTCGTTTCTCGACCAGAAAAAAGACGCCATCGGCCAGAGTGGCAGCTCAACCTTCGGATACAGGACGTAATGTGCGTGTGCGGCGAAATCCTGTTCGTCTTCAACCGCCCAGAACTCCAATATCTCCCCACTTGGATTCTGTTGTCTCCGACGTTGCGCCGTCAGTTTCTTCTGCCGCCGCCTTGAATGTGGTCCCTGATCCCGGGGCGGCAACTCAAACTTCGGCTGCACGCAGTAATGCGCGTGCGAGGCCAACTCCTGTTCGTCGTCAACCAACCGGGACTCCATTATCCACGGCCTCTGTTGTCTCCGACGTTGCGCCGTCAGTTTCTTCTGCCGCCGCCTTGAGTGTGGTCCCTGATGTACTTGCTTCGGCTGTTTCTCAGGCCGTCGGCCAGGTCCTCCAGCCCCTGATGGAGCGAGTAGAGCAGTTGGAATCTGCTGCAGCCGTCGTGCCGCTTGTCAACTCCAGCTCCGTTCATGCATTCCGGGGCCATCTGCCGGCTGCTCGTCCGTCGCTCTCTGTACCTGATAAACTCCGCGGGCGAATTGAACGCGGCGAGTTTATTGACTTCGACGACCTCCTCCCGGACCAACTGGGTGTGGAGCCCGATGTGGTCCAGCTAGCTGTGGGGGCCAACCGCTCTGTCCAACTTGTACAGAAGCCAACTCAGGCCCAGCGCCGCCATGTCCACGATGTAGCGTCATGGCTCGAGGCGTTTACTGTCTACACAAGAGTAATTGTCGCGGCGGCTCCAGATTGCTGGCATATCAGGCCACTATTCTGGATGCAAATAACTCGTATCAGGTGGACGCATGGCTAAGTTATGACAGGCGTTTCCGGCGCGCCATAGCCTCCCAACCACTGTCGTACGACTGGGCTATCATCGACTCTAATTTGTGGCAGTCGTCATTCACCAGCCGTGGTCGCCCGCCATGTTCGCGCTGTTCTCTGGTGCACCCAGTGGCCCAGGCCCGGTGTCCCTTTAGACCAGGGCCTCCATCCGTCGGCGCTGGGAGTGGAGGTCCGCCGCAGTCCAGCGCGCCAACCCATCTTGGGAAGCCTATCTGCCGCAACTTCAACAAGGACCAATGCAACAACTCATTCTGCTATCGTGGCCATGTGTGCCTTCAATGCCGCGGGAAGCACCCAGAAGTCAAATGTGGCAGGGGACAGTCCGCCACCTCAGCGTCTGCTCCGTAAACATCCTGTGGAGACCCCCATCAATGTACGCCGATTAGCCGGGCTCCTTAACCGTCATTCTGATCACTCCTTCTCTCACTTTGTGCTGCATGGGTTGTGTCATGGTTTCACGATAGGCCATTCTGCTGCTATATCTGGTGTTCATAGTTCTCCCGATCACCTGTCGGCTATTCGTAATATGCAGTATGTTTCTTCCTATTTGACCGAATGTTGTGAAGCTGGGCAAACAGCAGGTCCATTTCCGGAGCCACCCTTTCTGTGCATGCAGACATCTGGTCTGGGTGTTGTGCCGAAGTCCAATGGAAAACTTCGTGTGATACATGACCTGTCGTCTCCCGATGGCAGCAGTGTGAACGATGCTATACCACGCGGGCAGTTCAGCCTGCATTACGACTCCGTGGACACCGCAATTGCCGCCATTATGCGCCTCGGCAAGGGCTCCCTCTTGACAAAGGTAGATATCCGTAATGCATTTCGCCTGTGTCCCGTCGCCCCCGCGGACTGGCATCTTCTCGGGATCCGTTGGAACGGCATGTACTATTACGAGAAGGTCCTTCCATTTGGTCTCCGCTCCTCACCATTCATCTTCAACCAGCTGGCAACGGCTATCAACTGGGTCCTTGTCCATGTCGGCTCCTTGCCCGACGTAATGCACTACCTCGATGACTTCCTCGACATCTGCCCACCAAGCTCCTCCCTGGCGGCCAAGCACAAGGCCATCATCTTGGACTTGTTCCAGTTCTTGAACATACCTGTCGCCACAGAGAAAGCTGAGGGCCCTTCCACTGTCCTCACCTTCCTCGGTTTGGAACTGGACACCGATCGCTTGGAAGTGCGTCTGCCTCAGTCCAAGCTTCTGGCCCTACGTCGTTTAGTCTCTACCACCCTCGACCAGGGTTGCGTTCTCAAACGCGAACTCGCCTCCCTCCTGGGCCACCTCTCATTCGCTTCCAGAGCAATTCCTGCCGCCCGTACATTCTTACGCCGCCTGTATGACCTCGACAAGGCCACATCTGAGATGTCATCTCACCGAATGCTGCACCTCTCAGCCTCAGCCAAGGGCGACCTGAGCTGGTGGCACCAGACTCTGTCAACATGGAACGGAAAGTCATTTTTCCTGCTAGAGAAGTGGATACCCAGCGCTGACCTCCAGTTGCAAACCGACGCAAGTGGCACCATTGGATTTGGAGCCTTCTTCAATGGTCGCTGGTTCAGAGGTGACTGGTCTCCGCAGCAACTGGAACTAAGCATTACCTACAAGGAGCTCTTCGCCATTGTCGCGGCCTGCGCCACATGGGGGATCGAGTGGCTGCGGCTGCGTGTGGAGTTTCAGTGCGACAACCAAGCTGTCGTGGAGTGCCTGAAGACGGGCACGAGCCGGTCTCCTGCAGTCATGGCACTCATCCGCACCCTGTACTCAATCTGTGTGAAGCACAATTTCCTGATCCGAGCATCGCACCTGCCAGGAATTTCCAATACCATCGCTGATGCCCTGTCCCGGAACAAGATGGATGCCTTCAGGACCTTTGCTCCTACAGCTGCGGAGCGGCCTGACACCATGGTCCAGCCGATCACCGAGTAAGTGCAAAGACATTCACTTAGGATGCAGATAGCGTTCTTTGTCGATCCTACTCCACAATATCAGTCTGACTTTATGCCTCTAGAACAACGCTCTTGTGCAATACATACTTACCTTCTATATTGGCTGTTATCACCCGCTATCTCCTCTGGCCCTAATGGGAATGTCGGCATGGGCACTCCTCCGTAACTGGCCTCTCGCGCACTACTATTAAACTGGCATGGGTCATAAACCGCTCCTGCTCAACGCAGGCCGACCCACCAACTCGCATGGGTCACAAACCGCTCCTGCTCAGCGCAGGCCGACCCACTTGGTCATATACAGCTCCTGCCCTCGGTAGGCCGACCACACTATTCGTTAACGCGCACTCAATTGAGGCCAGCTACTCTGCCCGACATTCCCATTCTTCCAAACTCACTCTCTTGTCTTTTGGTGTGTCGCGTCCTGCACGCGTGTGTGTCTACTCTATACTCCAGCATGGGGTGTAGAATGTTAAATGTTCGGTTAATGTTGGAGTTAACCGTTGTTAACAGTCACATACCATTGCTTCGCTGTTGGCCTTTATAACGGGTTGCATAACCCTCCTTACGTGTGTGCACAATCTTGCTCTCTCTACATACTGCTGTGTATCATAGACATCACATGCCCACGCTCTGCGCATGCGCAGATTTCCTGTGCGCACAACAACAGAGCTTGCTGTCTTTCCAGTTTCCTTGCCTGCAGTCAGCTTTCAAATTCTGACCCACCCTCCTCATCCCATTTCTTACTCTTACACTCCACTCCATATATTTTGAAACACATGGATGCGGGCACTCCTCCGTAACTGGCCTCTCGCGCACTACTATTAAACTCGCATGGGTCATAAACCGCTCCTGCTCAACGCAGGCCGACCCACCAACTCGCATGGGTCACAAACCGCTCCTGCTCAGCGCAGGCCGACCCACTTGGTCATATACAGCTCCTGCCCTCGGTAGGCCGACCACACGATTCGTTAACGCGCACTCAATTGAGGCCAGCTACTCTGCCCGACATTCCCATTCTTCCAAACTCACTCTCTTGTCTTTTGGTGTGTCGCGTCCTGCACGCGTGTGTGTCTACTCTATACTCCAGCATGGGGAGTAGAATGTTAAAAAGAAATTTTTCTTCGACCAAGTGCTAGCTTTAGAATAATTATGAGTGTTTCTTGTATTAGTTTTTGTTTCGGGGTAAACAAGTTAGTTGTTTACGATAGGATTATATTTGTAGCAAGTTGTATTAAAGGGGAACTGTCACCAAAAATTTTCTTTGTCTTGTCTTGTAGCTCTTTGGCTCCTGATCACGATGGTGTTATTCGTTTTTCTCTGCGATGACTGGAAGTGGGTGAAAACTTGAAAAGAAGGTGCCCAAAATTGTCCCGAAGTACCGAGTGACGTCACGCCGGACTTGACCTCCACGCGTACTTTCATCGTCAAAAACGAAGTCCAGCCCGTGTGCTCGTCGATCGAGCCAACTGTTCGATGTACGGTGCACGCTTGCCTTCTGAACTCGGACACTCGATGTGTACTTTGTACACAATGAGAACGCCAAAAAGGGACAAAATAAACAAAAGTCGACTGCAGTTTGTCGCACTGGTACTTCCTCCACGAAGCTCCAGCTCTTTGTTTTATTTGTGATTACGAAGGAGTGGAAGGATGTTTGTTTGCTGTTAGTGTGACACACATACCTCGTACTTGAAAATGATGTCGTTGTATCGAAGGTGGCGATGTTGCCCACCCGGCTCTGAAATGAAAGACGTCGGAGTTCGTCATCTGCATCTTGAGCAACATCGCCAGATGAATCGCCTTCACGTAACTACATTGGCATTGCGTTCCTTTGGGGCTCAGGTTGGTGGTGCTATCGCCGGCAGGAGGAGTACTGTTTTCTGCATACGCACTCATCATCGTGTTGTTCCTCACACGAAAAGTTCAAAACAACGACGTACTTCCGTGCTCACAAAATAAAACTTAGATCCTCGTGGAAGAAGTCAAAAAGGTGAAAGCTCAGCTGCTTTTTATTTTGATTTGGCTGTGTAGCTGCACGTGGGTCTCTGCCTCTTTGGCATTCTCCTTCGGTACGACGTACCCATCTGTGTTACAGTTCAAAAGGCACACGTGCACCGTACATTGGAACAGCTAGCTCGATCGACGAGCACACGGGCTGGATTTCGTTTTTGACGACGAATGTACGCGTGGAGGTCAAGTCCGGCGTGACGTCACTCGGTACTTCGGGACAATTTTGGGCACCTTCTTTTCAAGTTTTCACCCACTTCCAGCCATCGCAGAGAAAAACGGATAACACCATCGTGATCAGGAGCCAAAGAACTACAAGATAAGACAAAGAATTTTTTTGGTGACAGTTCCCCTTTAAGCTCTTTTAAGAATAATACCCTTTTTTAGGCATAATTACCCCTTTCCCTTTTAAGGCATAGATGCCCTTTTCCCTTTTAGGCATAACACCCTTTTCCCTTTTAAGGCATAGATACTCTTTTCCCTTTTTAGGCATAACACCCTTTTCCCTTTTTAGGCATAACACCCTTTTCCCTTTTAGGTGTAAATACTCTCTTCCTTTTAAGGCATAACACCCTTTTCCCTTTAAGGCATAAATACCCTCTTCCTTTTAAAGGCATAAGACCATGTGCTTTGGCACAAGAGCACATGGAGCTATGTACAGTATTATGATTGTACTCTTGCTTGACAGGATAAGTTTATGTTTGTATACGCTTGGTATGGTGATCCTGTAAGCTTTTATGTTGTAGATTATAGTGATATATATAAGTAGTACACATCTTCTACATGTATATGGAGCTTTAGACACCCCCTCCCGGACTCCAGCACCCCTAGATTCTTAACTACTATTATACTATAATCTAGATGCTCTGGTTGGCTGGTTGAAGATCTCCCAGAGGCTTCAATCAGCCTGATAACCACGAGATTGGTCTAAGCATTTTCATTCGGGTACTGACTCAGATTCAGTTCACTTCCAGTTTTGGTTTCGCATTCTGATTCTGAAAGCTAATTCATTCGGATGCCGTTTCGGGCTCCCTTGCAAGTGTTCTATGAGTCCAGTGTCTGAGGAGTCCAGTACCCGTCAGAGGCCTTACTAATACAGTAGATTAGGCCTACAGCAGTGGTGGCAGCGGTGGGCACTCGTGCAAGTCGCTACCAGATGATGATCTACAAAAGTAGTGCCTACTAGTGCAAGTCGCTACCTAATGATGACTAATCTGCGGCAAGTCGCTATCAACTATGATTAAGTCTACAAGGTGTTGATGAAGCAACTACAGTTGTAGTCACAGGCTTAGTCTGTGCTGCTGTGTACCGTGATTTATGTCCTGCTGAACGAATGAAACCCTCCACCGTATCGCTGCTGCCGTGTTCTGGTATTTAATTGAAGTACTGTATTGCAATTGGTCAATGTGGAAATTCTGAGGGGTATCGTAGGCGACGCGTGTCATAGCGCAAGAGTCAGGTGCAGGCGTGAAGTTGCCAATTCTTCAGACTTGGGGCTATGCAGCAGCAGTTCCGGCATGAATGATATAAATAGAGCTGGGGACTTAAATGCCAAATCCACACATGCTCACACCATTACAAACACATACACCCACACTCTCTCCCTTTTCTCACATAGACATACACTCACACGCGCGTACACGGGCACACACACACTACTACTACTATGTACAGCTACCCTATCGGGCCACGCCGCTCCCAGAAGCGGGAGACAACGACAAGAAGAGAGAAGAGAAGAGAGAGAAATCGCAACACACACACACACACACACACACACACACATACACCTGGCCTGGTGTACAGCTGCCAAATGCTTGGCCACACCGCCCCCGAGACTGGGGAGAGTAAAAGAGAGAGTTCGAGAGAAGTCAGCACTGCCACTAGGAAGCTGCTCCGCCACGATGTCGTCCACGATTGCAATTGTGTCGCCGAAAGCCAGGAGCAGATTTAAAACAGCGATCACAGGTAGCGCAGTGCTTGTTGCAACACGGATGGCTGGTGATTGGTATGCGCTGGGGTGTGGGCGGTGATGCCGGGGCGGGTGTCGTGCACTTGTGCATAGCAAGTCCACCAGCACCACCGAAGGCAGGTATGGACTTGACATGCGTCCGGCTGTTCCGCTACAGGCAGCTGGCGAACAGTAGAACATTGCTGTCGTCCGAGTCCAGACACACACACACACACACACACAAACACACAAACACACACACACACACACACATTCTCTAAATCTCTCTCACACACACATTCATTCTCTAAATCTCGCTCTCACACGCACACACACACATTCATTCTCTAAATCTCACACACACACGCACACACATATTCATTCTCTAAATCTCACACACACACACACACACACACACACACATTCTCTAAATCACACACACACACCTGTCCTGTCCTGTCCTGTCCTGTTGACCCACTGCCTTTTAAAGGTTACGTGGTCCCATTGCGGGAGAGTTGAGTTGAGACACACACACACACACACACACACACATATATACACACACACACACACGCCTGCAGGCGCGCGTACGCCCACAATACTCATCCGTTCATTCTCACACCTACCGCACACATACTTCCCACCCGCACCTATCCAATCACCCACGCGCACTCTCTTTCACACGCATGCACACAAACCCCACTGACCTTTGACGCCCATCGCCATAGGCGATGATAGCGATGCTACAGCAGAAGCCATAGCAACTTGAGCTGGGATTGCACTATTCAACAGCTTGCAAGGCTGAAGAATTGACCGCCACTATTCAGCCTGGTCTACACCGCACAGCTATGAAGTGGCTTTTTTCTGGTCAGTGTATCCCTACGTTTTGGTCTTTTTTCATTTTTTTTGCACACACATCACACCACATACTTCGGCATGCACTGGCTGTTGGTAACCACCCAGGAGAATGAAAGAAAAGTCAGGAGGAGTCTCAGAAAGAGAAGAAAGACGTGTGTGACCTTAATCGTCGGGAATCGAACCCGCAACCTATCGATCGGAAATCGCTGCATATACCACTGCATCATATGGGACAAACACACACACACACACACACACACACACACACACACCTTGGTCCTTGGTAACACTGCCATCAAATGGTCACGTGTCCCCTGTGCAGGGGTCGACAGCACTGAGTTCAGCATTGGACCCAGAAACGCCGCTCTACTTCCTGGACAGGAAATTAGCACAGCTATGCAGGTCGAAACCACGGGATGACTTGCAGCAGCGACCGCAGCCGAGACAATGCGCTCTGCAGCAGGGCAGGGCAACCCGCTGTTTCCGGACCGAGTCTGCCGATGCCACAGCCGAGACCGACGCCACTTCAGCAGCCGAGTTGGAGAGACACTTATGCGAAGCTAGCCCGCCAGCACTCAAGAACCATCTCCCGCACGCATTACATAGTCGGCTGCCGGACTGCTCAGATATGGGCTTCCTCCTCTCGGCCAGGCACTTGTGGCGATTCTTGTATTTCTGGTGGGCGAAAGTACGCTGGCAAACATCGCAGAGCACAGAAGTGTCACGCTGAGCCGATCACGGTACTGGTTGAGCGGAATACGCACTGCGCCATTTCCCACGCTCCTGGGCGAGGTCGTACCATTCCGTGTGGTCGATGTTCACTGCGGAGAGGTCAGCTCTGACAGAGTCTCGCCACCGTTTCCGAGGACCGCAAGCCGGCCTCGGCGGAAGGAGCGCACCAAACAGGAGCTGGCGCGGAGTTCTATCGCCGTCCATCCTAGCACACACACACACACACACACACACACACGCACGCACACACACACACACACACACACACAAAATAGGCAGCGAGACTACCAGCTAGATTCACGTGACCTTGCGGACAAAGTTACGGAGGTAGAACTTGTTTTCATGACGATACTTGGACACAAGCTCTGACCTCTTGTTGATGGAGCGGGTCTTGTCGGCACAGGCAATTTCTAGCTTCTCGACCAGACACAGGTTGCAGCGCTTCGAGATGTTAGAGTATGATGCGGCTCTCCTCACAACGGACCACCTGATACTGTAAGGTTTGTTTTCATCCTTCAGTCTCCAGATATGTCTGGTCAGTCTCGTTGCAGTCTCATGCTTCTGGTGGCGAATGGTATGTTGATGACCATTGAATCGTGTCTTGAATGTCCCTTCAGAGAGAGAGTGCGGGTGTATGTGTGTGTAATGGTGTGGGCATGTGTGGATTTGGCATTTAAGTCCCCAGCTCTATTCTATATCATTTCATGACGCCGGAACTGCTGCTGCTGCATAGCCCCAAGTCTGAAGACTTGGCAACTTCACGCCTGCACCTGACTCTTGCGCTATGACACACGTCGCCTATGATACCCCTCAGAATTTCCCACCTTGCTCCCCTTATGTTCTGGCTGCCCGTTTTGGATCCATCAGTAGTAATACGTGAAACTCAGAGTTGTAACAAAGCTTCCAATCTCTCTCTTGTGTACAAGGCTCTACCCTACATGGGTATGGGAGCACTCTTCGGACAGTGAAGCACACCACTTGACTACGTAGTACATTTCTTATTATGAACATGTACATGTATCGTTGGTAAAGGAGCACTTTCACAGTTGCTATCTTCTTCCCTTTCATACTTTCATTCTTCAAATATTGTATACTACTTTCGCTGTTATCTGGTGTTCACGAGGTGTTTGTCGCGCTGGAAATGGAGCGTCTCTGTAAGTTTGTATCCCTGGTGATGTTTGTGCCTGGAGAGCACTATTATAAGTGGTGCTCTTCAGGCACAATCTTCCTCAGCCTACTCAAGCTCAACTAATGAGGGGTGAATTCCCCGAAACATTGTGTATTGAGCAGGGAGTGGTGCTTTCTTGCAGGTTTGCCGAGTCGAAGGTTCGATGGACTTCTCGTGTGCTCTGGATGGCAGTCGTCAGTCAGTCAAGTGTCAAGTAAAGTCGGCGGAATAGCGCGAGCTCCGGTGTGGGGAGCAAACCCTTTCTTACTTTCGTTTGTGGTAGGAATCAGAGAGTCAATCTCTGATGAGAAGGCAGTTCTGCCTATGCTTTAAGTGAATTGAAATTAAAGAATACAACAGCAACAACAACAGAAAGAAGCCATGAACAGTTTTTCACTGTCAGAGACCGTTGTGCAGCAGTTGGCTTACTTGAAACTCATTGTGGTGATTCTTTCCTGATGATAGCCACGAGAAAATGTTTGATATGCCGCATCCCTGCGCCCAGTGCCCAGACCGATAAATCACTACGAGCGGCAACTAGCCAAATGAAAATTGATACAAAGTGCTCACAGAAAATGCCTAGCTCTTTATCATCCAAGTGAGCTATGCTCGCAAACCAAATTAATAATGTGCAGCAGATACAGTCAAATACACAAGTAAAGTGAAAGAATTTTGCAGTTGCCGCTAAAGCAAAGCAACACCGACCAATAATGCATTGCAAGACTATGTTATTACATTATAACAAGAAAAAGTGTAATGTGACATGTACAGTGGATGATGTAATTCTATTAGATAAAACTATGGAAACCGCAAGAATTTAGGTTGTCATAGCAGTCAAAGTGGAAGTTCTTATAGTTGATTAGCGACCACTTCAGCATGGCAAATCATTAGACACGTCACAATTGATGTGGACACATCTACTTCAGCTCAGAAACTTAGGTGTGTGTGTGGGGGGGGGGGGGCTGGGATAGGGTTGTGTATGTGTGTGTGTGGGGGGGGGGGGGAGCTGGGTTAGGGTTGTGTATGTGTGTGTGTGTGTGCGCTTGTCTTTACGGTTGCTTGTCCACACACTAGCAACACGACTCTGACTGAGTTCCTGAGGCGAAAACGCATGAGGAATATGACCGTCATTGAGGAATCAAGGTGCCGTGTTCGGCCGAAAATCCCTATGTGTGAGTTATCCCAAGCCCGTTTGCACAAAGTATATGTGCACCTCTTGGTCATTCCACTCAGGTATACCTCAGACCCAACGTACAGAGAAATCAGCGTGGCGGAGCACAAAGGTCCGATATAGTAAAAGTAGAAATGCAAAGGATAGGTAAGAAACTGCAATGCAAAAACCCGGCTCAAGCGGACAAGTCCCCTTGAGCGGTAATGTAAACTCTCTAATAAACTCAACTCTACAACTCTACTGCACTCAACTGACACACTCTACTCCAGTCAGCAAACTTATACCGCTGAAGTCTATATAGGAAGCAGCTGCGAAGAGAAGCATAGAGCAGGCAGCAGCAAACAGAGCGCGAGTAAAGTCAGCAGGAGCGAGTGGAACGTTGGTGCAAGGAAACTGTAATACTATAAACGTGCAATGGAAACAGGCAGATCGCGCAGACGGAAAGACAAGACGATCGATTACAGTTCTGTGGTAAGGGCAAGTCTAGGCAACACGTTGAGGAGTGTCAGCAGGATGTGACTATAGGAATGATTAGGAGTAGAACATATCTAAACACATGACTCCATCTTCTAGTAACGTACATCATGTGTACCTATGCTACTGTCCTAATTATTATGCATAGTCATGGTTTCAGCATTAGGGTACATAACTGCTACATGTAAATGGTTACGAGCATTACTGTGTACGCAGGGTCCTCACAAGGACATTGCAGCGATGGAAAAGGCTAGGGAAAACAAACAAACATGAAGAGCCAGTGCGTGGGATAAAATACAGGCAGTAAACGTACAAGCAGATATCACGAGATATACTGGGGTAAAACAACAGAACAATGTGAGCAAGACATCCAGCAACATAGAAATATCTAATAAAGCAGACAATTCCTATTCTGTCATCAGTCTATACTGTGTAGTCACTGTAGCCGGAGACTACTAACGAAAACGATACTTCACAAAACATACACGTAACTTGATTACCAGCATTGCCGCAACAAGTCCATCCTGACAAGCATCCTGTGCTCGTATTACTACAGATTAGGCCATAGCCAGCGGATCAGTAATGGGATTCAATGGACTATTGTCACTTGATCACCCGTCTCTCTCAACGATACATACCAGCATAGGTTACTGGTTGGGATGTTGCGCAACACTTCAGTTACACCGGTACGATGATGCAGTCCGGTCAGGCTATGATCATCATGGTTTAATGTCAATGTGATCAAATCATTTCTCTTCCAGGGCTGGCCTAGAGCACCACCACCACGAGAGGTACTATCAGCACTGTAACCACACCAACCGTACACTTCACCCTGTGTGCTATGTACCCAATCCAGTACTGGACTAGACGATGCACATAAATATACACAGATACAGGAATAGTGTATGACATCTATACGTAGCTGTATAGCACTACTACCGCACTGCTCCTGTATCGGTGAGCTACACACTGAACGCCAGCTCCAGCCGGTCGACGACCTACGGATGGTTCGGTTGTTGTTACTGATGTGGATATGCTTATCACAGCGGTCGATATCAAACACAGGTACAGGTGCCGACTGAGCAGGTGCTGGTAGAACAACACTGAACTTCACTTGACTACCTTTCAGAGGAACACCGGCAATCGTGGTGGAAACAGCGTATTCGCCGGCTGCAGCAGGACGGCATTTAGTCACCAGATGTCCAGTGGATGATTGCTGTAGGGGCTCACACTGGACTGTCTTGCCGTCCGGATTTGTCACACAAACTCCTACATCGATCTTCCTCAGCTGGTCTTGGCTGATAGTAGCAGCATCGGAAAGGTGCTTCATCTCTATGTCGATCTCAACATCACTGCCCATCTTACGATTGCCTGAGCAACGCACTTTGTTCTTTGCTGCGTCAACACAAAGACCAGCTTTGCTGATGGCAGCCACAAGATCACGTGTGTCGCTTGCCGCAAAGACGATGCCGCTCACAACACATGGCTCAGCATTACTCTTGCCAACCGCCGCTGCACTGGTCAAGGCTGTCACTAGCCAAGACGACATGCGCACAAAATCCACACTGTCCTGGCAAGCATCCAGCATGCCTCTCACCACCTCCGTTTGCGACACACTGCCCTGCAGCCTAGCGAGTTGCTTCTCCAGAGGTCCCAGTGCCTGACTTTGAAGATCATCAAGTTCATTCAGAACACTGGTTTCTCGTTTCTGAATAGTTTCTACCAGAGAACGGAAAAATAGCACGGCCTCTTCTGATGCAAGCTCTATCTGATCATGAAGGCTACGAATGGTGGACTGTACTTTCTGAATGGAGCTCTCCAGAACGCCATCACTCTCAGACACACAGCTCAACAACAAATCATTCACTGACGCTCTCATCTTCTCTGCTGCAGCATTGATAGACACAAGATCTTGTTTGTGTGGCTCATGTTTTCCAGTACCAATGCATCGCTCACATAACAGCTTCTTACACTTTGTGCAGAACTTGGTCAGGATACTGCTTGAGTGCAGTGCACAGTGATGCTGCGATTGAGTAGCTGAAGCAGCAGTAGCGGTCTCAGCAGTCTCAGTGCCTGCTTCAGTCAATGCAAGTACCTCATGACCATGTGTAGCTCGGGAGAGCTTGTGTCCTTCGGTGTGTACACTGCACAGATGACTGCTGCATGTTGCACAGCGCGAAACAGCCACTTTTACATCCATACATTCGTCACACGACACTGCAGACTTCTGCTCTGCACCACTACCCTCTACATTGGCATAACTGTCTGGCAAAGACAACGTGGAAGAAAGGCCAGCTTGCAATGGTGTCGACGTCCTGCACTTCGGACACGTAATGGAGCCATCTTCATCAACATTCTGCTCAAGGCACGATATGCACAGAGAGTGGAGGCACTGGACCAGTTTAATCCTCTTGTTTTCACAGCCACACGCTACACAGGTCACAGGAGGCATGGCTCAAGCATGAATTATTCTCTAGTCCAACACACTCGGCTTCTCACAACTTGCTTTCTCAACAATCAAGCTGGCAAAGGGACACTGCAACGTCTCTGGGATCACAAATACAGCACGAGAAATCTCGAGAAGAAAATAACACTCGCACCAGGCGGTGAACACAGAGATAAAAGTGGCGTGTCAGTAGTAGATGTAGCTCTGCACAGCAGTCTAGTGCAATGTAGGCTACACACAGCATGTACACATGCAGACAGTTGTACTCTCACTGCATGTACTTTTCAGAGATTGCATGACAAGCTGAGCTGGCCCCAAGGCTGGCCAGGTCTGTCATGACAGGTAGCACAGACTTTGCTGTCAATGTACCTGCACCCACCCTGCACTGAACCATGACATTCCCATTCTGTTATAGTCCACCAAACACCATACTGTCATGTACAGTGCATTGCATCACACAGCCTGTCTATAGCACCACTACCACTGACCACCCCCCCCCCCCCATTCACACAGAAAATAATGAGTTACTTACTTGAAGAGCACTGAAAAGAGAGTTTCCCATGATGAAGGCAGAGACCTCCTGCAGTGAAAAACAATCAAAAGTGTCCCTTCCATATTCACCTTTGATATTTCTGACCTACCCAAGTTGGGTGTTTTGCCTTGCTGCCTCAAATTGTAGTTAGACCGCACTTGCTGCCTCAAATTGTAGTTAGACCGCAGTGCCAATACATTTACTGGTCTCGCCTTCGTCCTATAAGAGGCGACGTTCTCTGTTGCCGCGGGACTTAGCTTGTGCACATTATCACTGTGCTCACCTTCCCCTCTTTCCTCATTTACTGAGCCATGAACCTTTCAAGTTGGAAAGCTGTTGGTTTGCTCACTGGAGATGTGTTGGAGCTAGGTCTCAGGTCGTTGAATGTCTCCTCAGTTTCCCTCTCAGTTTTCTGCCCAGTTATCACACTTTCTGACTGCCTACTGTAAAACCGGGAATTTTTGCTGGTGATACTCTCCTTGTCGGGTGTGGATACCGTCCTCCAGACAAGCCAGTGCCGTACTGGGACTCTCTTCAAGAGAACATAGAAACTGCTATGGAAGGCCCTCAGGCATCTACCGTTCTCATTGGAGACTTCAACATTGATTACAGCTGTGAGAACTCTCCGAACGCACAACATCTGCACCGAGTACTATCCAGTAGTAATCTTCGGAATTATGTCACCTCACCAACTCGTGTCACGAGCCACACGGCTTCAACCATAGATCTGTTTCTGTCAAATACACCCATTTCTGGTGCCTGTGAAACGATTTACGGAGATATTAGCGACCATTTCGCCATCCTTGCACACTTGCCTGTAAACCAGACAGGGGTAAACCGAACATCACAACCCGGACAGAGTCGCCGTATCCACACCATCGACTGGGAGAAGTTTCAGACTGATCTGTGTGTCCACTTTCATCAATTCCCTCGGAACGGCACGATAAATGACATGACAGGTGCATTCACGTCTGCTATTATGGAAACACTAGATGAGCACGCCCCCTTGGTGGCGAGGCGCAAGCGTGGTCGCCGTATCTGTCCTTGGTTAACTGAGGAGTTGGTATCTGCAGTACGGCACCGCAACAGGCTACACCATCGACTCATGAAGGATCAAGCCAATGAGGTGCTTCGTGAGCAACATCGGCTCGCCAGAGCTTTTGCCAGGAAGCTTGACCGAAAGCTTCGTAACCTGTACTTCGTAAACCAGTGCAACACACCTGATCAGCGGAAACTTTGGTCAGCAATGAACACAGTCACAGGGCGACGGAAGGAACGTCAAGTACCTCAGGTTTCTGTTGAGGATCTCGGCCAGGTCTTCGGTGAAATTGTCAATGACCCAAGCAGACCACAGAATCTGCACCCGCCACTTGGGCCAATGCCAGCCAACAGTCTTCACGTCTTCAAACCTGTAAGTGTTGCAGATGTTGAAAAGTGTCTTAAAGCTGTGGATCCATTCAAAGCTGCCGGCAGTGACTCTGTACCTGGAATTGTCCTGCGGCAATGTGCAAATGTGCTTGCTCCTCCACTTTCCTGTATCATTAATAGTTCACTACAGAGTGGTGTTGTGCCCACCACGTTCAAGCACTCCCACATCAGTCCCCTGCATAAAGCCGGAGACCGCTCATCAGCCCGCAACTACAGACCTGTATCCTTACTCCCTGTACAGCAATGATTTATACCCGATGACTCAATTTGCATATCGACCCCGCCATTCAACAGAAGATGCCTTGGTACTAGCAGTGAATCGCTGGCTACTAGCGAAATCCGAGCGCAAGTACACCGGTTTGGTTATGATTGATATGTCGAAGGCGTTTGATCGTGTACAACATGAGAGGTTGGTTAATGAACTGTACGCCCTAGGCATTGGAGGAGCACCCCTACACTGGTTCTGTGACTACCTCAGTGGCAGGTCACAGCAAGTGAGGGTGCAGGACAGCTTGTCTTGTTCTGTTGGCTGTACGCGTGGTGTTCCGCAAGGGAGCGTTCTTGGACCCATTCTCTTTGTGTTGTACACCCGTAATCTGCACACAGCACTTCCTGCAACTGTCAATCACCAAGAATTTGCTGACGATATAATCCTTGATTTCTCCCATCCTGACTTAGATTTTGTTGGCAGAACTCTGACGAGAGCAGTAACTGATATCTCCCGATGGCTTGAAGACATCGGCCTCGTAATGAATGCCAGCAAGACTCAGGTCATGTTCGTTCAGCCTCGTGGCGCAGCCATTGCCACACCCGATGTTTTCTGCAACAACGAGCAACGGGAGGTCACGGCCACCGCAAAATACCTTGGTGTGATCGTTGACGACCAATTGTCATGGAGGCCACATGTCGACTATGTGTCACGTAGAACTGCACAAACCATAGGGCAATTGTGGAGACACGGGCGTTCACTAACGCTTAGAGCTCGACGGTCGTGGTACACCAGTATGGTAAACAGCCAGCTGTGTTATGCTTCAGCAGCATTCTACCCAAGCCTCACAGCTCAGCTTCTCGACCGTTTGGGGAAGATCAGCAAGGCTGGAGTCAGAGCTGTGTTTCAGCTCCCTCGTCAAACACCGACCGCTCCTCTTATTTCTAGATTAAATATTTCCCCACTGATCCACCATTTTAAGCTCAAGATTGTTGTTTTTGTTCATAGATGTCTTGCTTCCAATGCAAGCATGCTATTTTCGCCTTTCTTTCTGTTGATCGCTGAACCTGGTCTTGAGCAAAGCACACGCCGTGTTACACGTGGCCAGGTCTCACGTCTTCTCCAAATTCCATTCGTTCGTGGACCAGCATCTCGTGCGTCCATGCAATTCGTGGGCAGCGTGTATTGGAACAGGCTTCCGGCAAATATTCGTTGCCATGAAGATATTCTGGGTTTCAAAGCCCTGCTGTGCCCAGATGTTCTTGACATGCTTTCTCTGTCTTAACTCATTCGTCAGACATGTGCATTTTGATCTTTTGGTTTGGTCTCTAATCGACAAACTGACTTTTCTCCTCAAATACTTCAACTTCTCTATTTCTATTTCATACATCTTTTTTTTTTTTTTTTTTTTTTTTATTTACTTGAAAAAGCACATAACCACCAGGAAAGCTGACAAAGAAAAAGAGTAAGAAAAGACAGATAAAAAGAGAGCTGAGAGAGAGAGAGAGTTGGGGTACGGTTAGGGGAGGACTAGACATTGAATGGTGGTCGCCACAGTCACAGATAGTAGCAGTGCTGGTGAGGCTACAGGCACTCCACTGACCATTAGGTCTCAGTATCGCCATGCCGGTAACGCACCAAGAGACAAAAACGGAAGAAAATCTGAAGCGCAATACATGAATGGTAATTACAATATAGGTAATAGGGAGAGTGGTGACCAAGAGAGGACAGTATAGACCGTTAGTATGGGGTGCTTCAATGCACATCCCCAAACCAAGAGGTGCGATCTGGAAAGAACAGTGAGACGATCAACATGATGGGCTTCAAAGCACGTCCCAAGACCATGGCTGGTCTGAAATGTGTTTGTTGACACCTTTTTTAAAAGCTGTGAGTGGAGAGTGATTGGCCAGACGGGGAAAGACGTCCTCGGGGAGGCTGTTCCACAATTCAAGGAAACAGTACGGGAAGGAACGTCGAAGGTAATCGGGACTGGTGCCGGGGGTGGTGTTTAAGAGCTGTTCCCGGTGCTGGTGCTGAGCATAGTGCTGCTGGCGGGTTCGAACAGTATCGGCCCGTGGTTTTGGGGGAGGGCGCATGCGTGTCAGACGGGGTGGGCCCTTGCAGTTAACTACCTTGTAGAGATAGGACAGCCCTGCGACCGTCCGTCTGGCCCGCAGACTCTGGAGGACGGTGGTGGGTCCAATCATCTGCATGGCCTTGCGCTGTGCTGTGTCCAACTTCCCAAGGTGGGTCTGGGCAGCACCAAGCCAGGCTAGTGGGGCATACTCAAATATGGGCCTTACAAAGCCCTTATAGACGGTTAGGCGTCCAGCAGCATCCAGGATGGGGGCTGCCTTCCGCATGAAATGGAGGCGTTGATGTGCGCGCACAGAAAGCTGGTGGAGGTGGGCGCTGAAGTTGAGCTTCTCGTCGAACACCACCCCAAGGAGCTTCAACTGGCTGCTGACAGGAACAGGGGTGCCAAGGAATTGGACAGGGGGGAAGTCTAGAGGGGCAAGCTTCCTGGTCACGGACATCAGCTGTGACTTAGAGGGCTCAAAGGTAACCCTCCAAGTACTTCCCCAGGCTTCCAGCTGGTTTACGGCTGTCTGAAGTGCAGCTGCGGCGGCCTCTGTGGTCTGTTTCGTTTATTTCTTACTCTTTTCTTTCTATCTTTTTCTTTTCTTTCCCTTGTCATTTAATCACTGTCACTCACATACAAATACCGTCATAAAATATAAAACGCAAGTTTTTCTCATCTTTTTCTTTTTCTTGTTTTTCAGTAGCTTTAGCATGTTCATTCACATTCTTCATCATTTGTGAGAACTAGACCTGGTCTAGTGAGAAGGCATTCTACTGCCTGTAATTCTGGTGAAGTAAAATAAAGTAACAACAACAACAACAAATGCTTGCAATTGGCTTTTTAAAATTTTGAAATTTTTTCCCGGGGGAATTTTTTCCATGGCCGCCCCACCTCCAAAGTCGTTCCGATGCGCCTGAAGACTAGTGTGAACGCTCAGAACTAAAAAAAAAGAAAAGCGTACCATCAAGCTCGTAGTCGTACATCAACGCAAGCACGCAATCATACTGCCTAACACGTGCTCCTGGGTGCCCAAATCACCTGGTCACCACGCCAGCAGGCGACAACTTTCACACCAAGGTTCAACTCGAGTTCAACTCGAGTGACAGGAGTGCACCCAAAAAAGGTCAAACAGGCTAGTAAGTAAATTAGTCGTACCCT